TATCAGTAAACGATGATGTCCTTGTGAAAATAAAAAAAAAAATATTTCAACAGGATCGGGATCGAGATCGAGATGAAGAAAAACGATTCCTCTGGACGCTACTTTCGCGCTTGAGTTTCAATAATTGTCGATAGCTGGGTTCAGTCGATGTCAATATCAAAATCCAACACAACTTTGGTGATTGTTTCACAATTTGATAAACATAATAATTAACTGAAAATGTTTATAAAACAGAATCAACTCTTTGAATAATGTGTTGTATCCACTAATACTATGTACCCGTTAGCCGCATTCTTGGAATGTATGAGACAATACTGAAAATCCAGATGTAACTTTTTGCTGAAAATTTTACTGGGTTTTCTACGGGTAATAAGTTGATTATTATGTTAATCAAGATGTGAAGCAATCATCAAAGCTGTGCTCGACTGTGCCATCGAGATTAACCAAAGTGAACGATCGACTATTGCTAAAAGTTTAATGCGAAAATCAATACGACGAAATTTATGCTACTCTCACATTGAATGCATTGAAAGGGTAGGAAAAATTATTCATCCGCATAGTGTACATATCATGGCGTACACCCTCCATAAAATAGTCATGCACGGATAAACACATAAATGCATACTTTTTTCTTCTTCACACTTGCATCTAATTTTTATTTGGTTAGCCTTCTGACGTTGAATCATCGAACATCACAGCTGAATGAAGAAAGCAGATAGATGACACCTGCGTGAGAGAACAAAATGCAAGAGGAGGGAGAGCGCTTTCCGTATACTCCAAAAAATACTTTGGAGTATGGTCGAGTATGATTGAAGTAAAGTCAATTAGAATGAAGTAGGACTACGGTAACGGCGTACCATAATGAATCAGGCTCTCGCTATTTTGCATACTTATCACATATTCTTAGAACAAATATCCGTGATAATGTTCTATTGAAATTCTTTCCGCAGCATTCAAATAGTTAGATTTGAAAATCCAATTATACCGTATTCTAGAACAAAGCGTTCTCTACGAAACGGACTATTTTATATACTATCACAATATAATCGTTTCGAAAAATGTTAACAGAATTTTTATCTTTAGTGACTGAAAAACCTCCATTTCAAGGTTCTTTTATGTTGCAACTACAAAATTGTTACTTAGGGCATACCGAAAGTACTATCCAAATTTTTATGAAAGGTAGATGGATGAAAACTCATTTCGATCTGCGGTTATCACCATACGATAGAGGAGGGACGGGAATCATATACCTATGTAGAAAAGTGACTTTTTGCTAACGAAACTAAGCATGTATTAGCGAACTGTTCCATGACTCTTTTCCATGATGCTGGTGCTCCGTCATGCCCACTTCACATTGATATCGAACGAATCTTCTCACTTTCCTTATTGGAAATGCTAGAAATATTTTAATAGTGAAATTGCGTGTAAGACATTTCTCACTAAAATACGAAAACTTGGTGAAATTATTTTGAAAATAGAAGTTTCTTAAAAACACTAAGAACCATGAAAAGATTCATATTTGTATTGAGTCTACGAAAATTGATCGACTGAAAAAAGATCGAACGAAAATTGATCGACGATTATTGATCGACACGAAAATTGATCGATACGAAAATTAATCGATACGAACGCTAATTGTAACAGAAATCATTGTATAAGAGAATACGACACAAAACAAGAGAAAAAAATAACATCCTGATATCTTTCTCATCCTAGAGATAGAGATAAATTAAAATAAAACGAAATTGGGATAAAGAGAAAATCCCTAAATAATACAATTTTCTGATAATAAAACATTCTCTGATGCAATTAAATAATTATACATCATACAATCACTTGAAAGCAGCTTAAGGGTCGTAGAGAGTACCTTTAATTAAGAGCTAATTTCTCTTAATTATAAACTAATCAGATCAATAGATCACTGACAAAGTATTAAAGTAACTGTTCGAGTGAAATGATGAGTTATTGTGTTCTAAATGTCGACTTTCACGCTAAGTAAAACTCAACAATTAAAACCTTTATTGATCTGTAACGGTTTTTCGTATGTCATCGACCAAACAAAGAGTGAAAAAATTTATTGGAAATGTGAATATGCAGGTAAAATGAAATGTAAAGGTAGAGTCCATTCTGATCTTGAAAAAACCAAATTAACATTCGAAAATAATAATCACAATCATATGGGAAGTGCTATATCTGGTGAACTTCGAATCTTCAAAGAAAAAATTAATGATCGAGCTACTACCTGTAACGAAAGTACACAAGCTGTTATTGATACGTGTTTAACAAACTTATCTGATCATGCTGTTGCTCGCCTTCCAAATTTCAAACATATTAAAAGAAACATCCAGCACCAACGCGGGAAGAATGATTTACCAAGTATTCCACAGGATCGAACATTCGATCAAATTCCAGCTACATTAACAGTAACAAAACGTGATGATTTATTTCTTCAATATGATTCTGGTCCAGGAAATGATCGAGTAATAATATTTTCTTCTATTCAACAATTAAAAATTCTAGAATCTGGAGAACAATTGCTAGTCGATGGAACGTTCAAGGTAAATTTGATTTCCTCCTATTTTATTAATATCTAATTATTAAACATTTAAGGTTGTTCCATCAATTTTCTATCAATTGTATGCAATGCATGTAGTTTATCGTGATGCAGTTATACCAGTTATTTTTGCTTTATTACCAAATAAAACAGAATCTACTTATCGTCGTTTAATTGAAAAGTTATGTGAATTAAGTCCATCATGGAACCCTCAGTATTTAATGATGGATTTCGAAAAAGCTACCATTAATGTTTTCACGAATAAGTTTACAACAAACACCAATTCACCATTAATATCTGGTTGTTTCTTTCATTTGCAAAATAGTATTCAACGTAAAGTTCAGGTGAGAAGTCAATTAAAAACATGTAAATAAAATGTTCATATTTATTCTTTTTTGCAGGAATTTGGATTCAAAACAAATTATGAACAAGATCCTGAATTTGCTCATAATGTAAATAAATTAGCAGCACTTGCTTTTATTCATCCAAATGATGTTAGTGAAGCCTTTGAAAACCTTCATAATTCATTACCACAAATTTTAACTCCACTATTGAATTATTTTGAAGATACTTATGTTGGACGCTTACGAGCAAATGGAAGATCTCATGCTTTATTTGATATAAACTTCTGGAACATGCATCAACGAACAACAGATCTTTTGATGAGAACAAATAATGCTGCAGAGGCTTGGCATCGCCGTTTAAACTCTATTATTCAGTGCCAACATCCTACGTTGTGGAAATTCATTGATAGTTTAAAGAATGAAGAAAATTATGTTCATTGTCAATTGGTAAAACTGAATGCTGGTGAACAAGTTGAACGAAACAAGAAATATTTAAACTACAGCAAACGTCTTCGTCATCTTATTAGACATCCACTTCCTACGCTTTTGGAACAACTAGATGGTCTTGCTCATAATTTATGATTTTTTTCACTTCTTGTGTTCTTCAAAATGTAGATGTTGTTCATAGAATAAATTCTCTCAAAAATAACTCAGTCGACTAATTTTCGTATCGATTAATTTTCGTAACGATCAATTTTCGTATCGATCAATTAACGTCGATCAATTTTCGTTCGATCTTTTTTCGTTCGATCAATTTTCGCTTTCCCATTTGTATTGTGTCGTATTTGTATATTCAACTTATGAATGCAGACGTGCAAAATGCTGATGCTTAAGGTTTTTTCCGAAAGAAAACTTTTGATTACTTAAAAGCCTTTTATAACAATCGAGATTCTCTTTTCCTTACACAAAAACGTATTGGATTAATATAATTATGAATAGGAAAAGAACTCATAGTCTATGCTTTTACTGATCATCATTCAAATCTGTTTCTTCACGGTCAGATTATAAATATGGCTCGTTATCTTCCTACATAATTCCATCCGCCATTTTGTAAATTTCTGCAATCCTACGTTTATCGTCCATCGCCATCACAAACTATTCAATCACTTCTTTTACACCGTCATAGCAACAGTTCGAGTTTTGATCACGAACGAATTGCTTGCCCAGGCAGACAAGACTTTCAAAAATACGCGTAAAAACGCTTGAAAATGTGCGCTTTTTTGCGAATTTATTTTCGTTAGAACTTAACGCGGTTCTACGCGTTTTATTCTTGTAAAAAAACCGTGTAAAAACGCGTAGAACCGCGTTAAGTTCTAACGAAAATGAATTCGCAAAAAAGCGCACATTTTCAAGCGTTTTTACGTGTATTTTTGAAATTCTTGTCTGTCTGGGTGAGATCATTCCAAGACAATTTAATAGGATTGAGAGTTTTAGAAGACGAAATATTTCTATATCATACTTCTTTCGAATTCGATCACTCTATCCAATGAAATAGTGAAGGGCTTACAATATATTCTTGAGGTGAACAACTAGCATCCACTAGTTCCAACAATGGAACATAAAGAAATCTTTCCGAAAAACTGATTTTTGGATCGTCCAACTATTGCGGGTGTGGGTAGATGTTGGCCATTTTACTAAAACCATTGACAGTTGTCAAAGGTTTGGCAGAAAGTTCGCTGAGCTCTAGCAAGCTTCGTGATGTCATTGATGGTTTTTTGCAACTTACATCGAACCACTTTAAAGTAGAGGGATATATCCATATATTTGAATATAGCCTATGAAACCTTGAACCGTTGCATGAAAAAATTGATAGTTTCGTAAATATTCTCCCAAGCGTCTACTCATTCCACGATATTGTTAATCGTTTCGTAAAAGCTATACTGCATCAGTTACAAGCACATAGAACTCATCAGCGTTTAGCATAAATGTTTTCAAACCGTTGGTCAATTTGCACTACTAGGGAGAGTTTGACAAAAAATTTACCGAACCTTCAAAGACAGAATCAGGTGATAGAAGGTTTCGCATGCATTATAA